ACAGTGACCTACTTTTTGTAGTTGCAACCAAAACCTTCAAGGTGCCTCAATAAAAAAATTACTCATCAACTAAAATCGATTTCTACAGAGCTGAATTTGCACTTAGTTTTAATTTTTGATAGGGGCAATGCCTGCATCGCAAGATACCCAAGATGCAATCTCTGACAAAGTTTGATTGATTTTAGGTCAATTTACTTTGTCCAGAGATACTTAATTATAGCCACAAAATGTTTCAAAAGTGATCACTAATGGCCATGACTTTTTGGTAATATTATAACCAACCAATGGAAAGTTTGATGATTCTAAGCCAATAAGTACCAAAGATATTTAAATAAAGCCATAAATTTTTATATAAGTTTATATCTCCAATTAAGATTTTATACGGAGCATCAGCAGGGCAGCAAATATATAATTACAAAATATGAGTATTCAAAGTTTGATATAAAAATGAATAACATACCAATGAATGATAACACGGTCATGCATGTCTGTAAATTAAAAGAAAAAAGGTTCACTGGTTTTTCGTTTGAATTTTTCAAAAAAATATCTACTGACCAAGTTTTGACCTTATTTGTTACATGTTAATCAAAATATGCATTTTAAACAATTTGAAAACAAATGTCGGCAAAATTTAAAAAGTAGGTCACACACACATATTTTGTTAAAAAAATGTTTTAAGTCAAGATCAAAAAGTTCAAGATTTGATGATTAACACTTTTACCCTCAGTGTCTGAAATAAAAGCCGGGATTTTATGTTTTTAAAAGGATAAAAAAAAATTAAAAAATAAAAAAAAGATTTCTAATAATTCAGAGGTCAAATTGTTCAAGGACCCAAGATACATCAAATAACAAAGTTTGATGATCATAGGCCTTAAAGTGTAATATCAAAAATATGCCTTCAAATCAATATAAAACAAATCCCCATGTGACTAAAACAAGTAGGTCACTGTTGAATCTTTTGAGGTAAAATGATGTGATTGTCAAAAAATGTACTTTTTGTTACAAGATTTGATGATTCTAGTCCTTATGGCCAGAAAAATATACCGTTTTTATTTTGTAAATTTCAGGTCAACTTTGAAGTGACTTTCAGTTTTCTTTAGGATTTTGCAATGAAGTTTTTATTTAAACCCTTGTGACCTTGTATGTAAGTTTGATAAAATCAAATGGTGGTTCTGGGAAGAAAATTTTTTAGCAAAAAAAAAAAAAGGTTTCCAGTACTTTTTGTTTTGTTTTCCTGATTTTTTCCCTTGAGTTAAAAAAAACCTTTGTTTTAGTTAAAAAAGGTTTAAAAACATATCAGGAATGCTTATGATTGACAATGATTTGGACATAATTGGCCTTACGGGCTACATATAGTACATGAACCTTGGACTTTCAGTAAAAAGTTAACGCACACCGCACACCGTCACAAATGGCCATAGCATTAGCTCACTGGTTTAAAAAAAATTAAAACATCATGAACTTTAAATTTTGTTAAATACTCTCAAAATGCTACTCCTCCTCAGTTTTAGGACAATTATAATAGTTATGTGATTATGCAAGTACACTCACTTGAACATAAAGAGGCTTAATCAATGTATATTTCAATGTAATGCTGTTGAAAATTTCAGATTCTAATTGATGTAAGTACTTTTGCTCACCTTACTGTTATTAAGTACAAACCATTGACTGAGAATTGTACTATATGCTTTCCTTTTATATATCAATCCCAAGGCTTTTGGATGAAAGAAAAAAAAAAATTGTGTGTAAAAAAAAAGTAAAGGTACTAACTGATACAAACATTGTAGATACCATAAAAAATATAACTACATTTAGAAGTATGTATCCTCTTTCAAATGATTGTTGCACACTTTTCATTTTCCAGGGGTTTCTTATTTCATCTTTTCAACAATGGCTTCACAACCGAAGGTTCCTAATCAGATATTATTTGACTTTTACAAAAATGCCAACAAAGTTAAACATTTTCCTTTACAAAGTTTCGTTACCGGTACACTCAGATTGATAAGTGCAAAGAAACAGATCTACGGATTATGATGTCAAACTATATCATCTGTATTGGATTTCAATTAACTCTGGATAATTGTATTTTTAGAATTATTTGATTTATGATTTTTGCTCTCTAAATATTTAAAATTGTAATGCAAAAATGAATATTCAATTCCAGATTTTGTTATGCAAATATATTACAGTTTCAGATACCTGCATTTTGTTCTTGAAATGTAACAACTTTCATTTTTGCACACATGCTTTTCGAACTACACTATTGTCAATGATTTTGACAAAAAATCCTAACTGATTCATGACACAATTGTACCAAAGGAATTTTGATTTAAAAAGGTAAGACATTTTAGATTTTCATATTACAGAAATTTTATTATTTCTTTATAATATATGCATATGTGTTTTTGCCATTTGACACCTCATTTACATCATAGCAAAATCTAAATAATATTCAAAATTACCTTAAATGTAACTGTATATTATTATGAATTAATTTCAAAGAAAATCACTAAGGTTAAAGGAACATTTTATTTGAGCTTATTAAAGTTTTAAATTCATTAATGTCATCAACACAAAGATGGACCTTTTTGCCATAACAAACCATACATTTGCTTATCAAGATTTTTTAAATCTGTATAAAGTTAAATGCCATTTAAATACCATAAAAGTTTTATACACAGAATATCAACTTTCTTTCATAAATTAGGTGTATTAACCCATTCACTTCTAGTAATAAAATTGATTCAATACCATATATTAAGAGCTGGTTTATTTCTGTATTTATTAATCTATTCATTTAAACACATTAAACCTCTTCCACTAGTGGTTAAGATGGCTTTTAACAATAAAATTATTTATTAAATATTTCCTAACACCTTCACATAACCATGTTCAATAATATTGACATGAATAAGCAAACAAAACACACGAAATAATGTTCACTTTTGAAATGTTTCAATAGATGTTTATGATTCTTGTGAACACTATTGAAATAACGCTAATTGTAATTCAAACACATACTAACTTTCTTTGAAATTTTGCTCTCTCCAATGCATTCATATACCTTTACACAGATTTTAAATTTCCTTTGAGATGAAGATATTTGTTGTGTAAAAAGTAATTCCAAAGAAATATTTGAAAATTTAGATCTATTCTATGTTTTTTTAATTAAAAATAACCATATTTTCATCAGAAAGTTTGTGCACAAAATTATCAGTCTTCTTTTCAATGTAGTCTAGATATTCTAATGTCTACATCTAGAAGTATTTATGATCCTTTCCTTTTAAAATCCATTATGACAAAATTAACTTTATAATAACAAAAATATTTCAAAATTGCATATCATTAATTGACTGTCTGTTGGTTTTCGCCGATTCGGCCAGATTCAGCGAGAGCTTGCTTATAACATTAGCATACATGTTTGAATTATAATTTAAAACAGTTTCATAGAAAGTATCCACATGTATTAATTGAAATTATACAAAAAGATATATCATAAAAAAAACTTTAGTTAGGCAAAAAAAAAAAATTAATTTCTTGGTTCTCACGCCCTCCCTCATCTCTTCCAAGGGTGCCTCATTGACCCTTTTTATTGCTAAATCAATAAAATATAAACACCAAATCACCTCCCTCATCATTTTTTGAGCTTTTGTACAATGTAAAGAGCTGCCTCATGTTTTGGGGGCAATAAAAAAGAAAAAAAAGCCTCCCTCCCTCATCATATTTCTTGAAAAAAGGCCTGAGAACCAAGTAATTAACTTTGCATGGCCTTATCAAATTTTAAACTCAATAAATTAGTTTAATGTGTTGAGAACAGAATGTGTAATTCATCCTTCTATTTGTTTTAATAGTTGGGATACACCTATAAAGCTTGCAATGTGGTTTTGGTATTGAAGTCATTGTCAGCAACTATCAAAATAATCATTTTAATATCTTATGGAATCATTGTTTAAAGCACTATTGAAATCAATATTTCAATCACTTCTGAAATCTATATTTTAATCACTATTGAAATCTTTATTTCAAAAGTGAACATTATTTCAATAGTGGTTGCAACCTAATGTTTGGTATCGAAATTCACTCAACCACTATTGAAATAATTATTTCAGTAGTGGTTGCAAAAGGCCAGGTTTTTAGCATTTTATTGACACGAAATAACTCTGATTAAATGATTGTTCATTATATTTATCATAAATGAATTACTACAGAAAGTATAATCCATGATCCTAAAACATGTCTTTCCGCAGATATCGAAAAGAGTACTGGATTACTACAGAAACATATAATGGATGCACTTCTATCTCTGCTCCAAAAATTTTATTGTTTGATGGACGTTTGAGCTTGAACACTGTTTGTTATCTCCATACATTTCATTGTGGCAATAAAAACAGTATATAACATCAACAGATTTATTGCAAATCATTTTTTAAAGCAGTTTAAAATTACATGACATGAACTAAAACGAAAATACTTTACAATGTGAAAATAATTACTAGTGTTTAGCCAAATTAAAATGAGAAAATTTGGAATGTTAAAAATAATTATTTTACTTCATATTAAAAGGTTTTTCAGTCATATTAAAAAAAACATACTATACACAATGTTAATGAGGCACATCAAGCATTAGATATAACGATTACATTATTATGCTATATAAAATGATTTTAAAAATACTGTAAACCAACTATTATCGCATCATCTTTTGTAATTCGACAGTTTGAAATCAATCTGCAACGATTAATTTTTGCGACTGATGAAATATTTTCTACAAATACAAACTTTAAAGCAAAATAATGGTTCACAGGGATTAATACTTGCGAGAAAAATATATGTCTCGAAACTCGCGGATATTTATCGCACATGAACAAAAGTTGGTTAACAGTAACTGAAGTCTTTCTGTGTTGTTACATTGTCAACAATCCATTTCTGATCTAGACAAGTGAGAAGATAAATATCTTGTTCCAGTATGAAGGGGAATGGGGTCTCTTAGATAGTGTTCATTGTTTTTTCCTACAATGGTCACCAATAACAACAATCTCCATTAATGTAGCTATTAGGCAATACCTATCTAAAATGGGTCATCCAGTGTTCAACAGAATGTTTTTCTAACATCTAAGCTCAGTAAGGCTTAAAGTCAATTTGAAAACTCTCTCATGAAGCACATTCACCTTTTTTTGAATATTTACAATTTAAAAAAATTAAAATTGCACAAAACATAATCATATCGTCAAGAAAATAATTAGAATGTGCAGAAAATAACTAAAATTGTATAGAACATTCAAAATATAATATGTCTGGAATGCTTACAAGAGGACGGATTTGCTGTGAAAAAAATAAAAAAGAAATTCATCCCTAACAAACAATTTATCAGTAGATTGACTGATAGAGAAATGAGGTCCTTATTTACACTCCAGTAAATATAAATTCAGAAAGTGAAAACCAATTGAATAGTTTAACAAGAGGCCCAGTGTCCACAACACTCACCTGAGCACTCTGGCTACCTAATCAGGATAGTCTTGAAAAGGTGGTTCAGGGGAAGAAGGAGGGTATGACTGAACTAATTACTTGAGTCTTCACTTACTATCATGGATGCTTTTGAATTAATATAACACATAATGGTTTTACTGATCTTAAGAAAGAATTTTTTTTTATTATTTCCTTTATGCCTATGATCTGTTATGGCCACTCTATTCTCCTGAGGTGTCACTATTTGATCAAACTTGACTCTTTCCTGTGTCAAAATTTGATTGCCTATTTGTGGCCCCATCCTACCCCAGAGTGTCATGATTTGAACAAATTTGCATCTACACCTCACAATGATTCCAAATAATGTTCATATTTTCAAGCAGTGGTTCTTGAGAAGATTTTTAGATGTTCATGAATTCATAATTATCTCCCCTTGGAAGAAAATGTGACCCTTGATAAGAACAAACTTGAATCCCATTTACCAAAAGATACTTTGTGGCAAGTTTACTTGAAATTGTCCATGTGGTTCTTAAGAAGAAAAAAACACAATGACAGACAATGTACAAATTTCAACCAGAAAAGTTCACTAGAGCTCTTGCCTCAGCCTCGGGTGAACTAATATCATAAAGATGAGCGATTTTAATACGAATTCTCTACATTTTGATGTCCTCTCAACCCTTAAAAATTCAAAAAGCTACCGGTAACCTCAATATGATATGAGCTACTAGTGAAATCTCCTTACTCTGTTTAAACAAACAACTTTGTATGGATGTAAAAAAAATTATATATAAACTTAACTGTGTCCTATCTTGATGGATAAAACATGTTACATGTATCAATTTTGTTCAATTAATGGGGAAAAAATGCCGAATTGAAACATTTCATTTTTAGTTAGCCTGGAATGTTAAGATGACAATGTTTATGTTAATATCACAGTTAGTCAACACCAGGGGAACCGATGTAATAAATATAGTGTTATTCTTAATTACCAACAATTACAGTCTTTTAAAGCACACATGCACACACACACATTTAAAAATCAAAATGCCTACACGCTTCTTAATGCGTAGACTAAATCTGGAATATAATCAAGTTCTGCATTCACTTAACAAGATGTATTACGTGTACAAGTACCTGTAATTCTCGAATTCAACTTCATTTTAAGAAGTGATACATTCTATTATGCAAAGAATAACAGTTTGAAACAAACATTAACAAAACACAAACAGGGAAAAGAAAACAAAACAATTTGAAGACCCCCATTGTTGTTGAGGACACATTCACTGCAGTGATCATTTTGATTGTCAGTTCACCAGTCCGAGTTATAGGGAGGGGGGTTAGACAAAGATGAAGACGGGTCATGGTGTCCAACCTTGTTTCTGAAAAGCAAAATGTTACAAGAAATAATTATTCATTGTTATAGAGGCAAAATTTTTTTATTACTACTGTGCTCTCAGGTAATGTTCCATTAAAACAGCTAGTCATTAAAATCTGAGATGCTTTTGTCTTTCGTTTCTATGGACAAAGTAATACTTACGATCCAAAATATGATCTAGAACCTGCCCTGTAACAGTGAAAAATAGAGAATTAGTAATGAACTGATAGAGGAAATAATTATACATATATATTACTCAACACTATAATCAGCAATAATTTTATCAAACAATTTATATTACCTAATTATTATGGTAAAAAAAGGATTTATGTATTAAAAATCACAGTCTGAATAAGGAGACTTTAAATTATGAAGTTTTTTTTTTGTTGAAAAATTAAAGCAGAAAATTGATCAATTGAAAGCAATAAAATAATTAACAGATGAATAAAAGGTGAGGTTTGAATATAGCACAAAACAAGTTGGCTAAAGAGTAATTCTTCTTGTTTTAAGCATTCATTCAATAGTAAACTAATTATTAGCAACTATACTTTTGTTAAAATGAATAAAACCAAGCAAATTTATGCTAACTTATTAAACCATTTACAGAAATAATCAACATACAAAGTTAATTACTTTATGTTAATTACTTTATGTTAATTACTTTATGTTGTATTGAATCTAATATACCTAATCTCAAGAGAAACTTTATTTAACAACATGAAAAACTTGTCTAGTTTCAAACATAATTTAACCACCTGCCATGTCCATTCATTTATTAAGCTTTCTCACTTATATATGTATTAAGATTTCCAATCTATTCCACTTAACACTCAATTGATGGCCTAACTAATTTGCATATACCACAATGCTGAGTTATGAAAGAAGTTGACAGTGAAGAGACATGATGAATTTAAGTTTAAGTAAAAAAGATATAGCAAACAAAAAGTATTTACTGACCACATATTTACTACAACCTAAAGTGAATCAATATCATTAATCTTAAAAACTATTGCTTAAATCACGAATATTGCATTCATTTTTTAAATCAATTCTTACTTTTGACATGGCAACCACATAAAATTGGCATTGTTACAGTCATTTTCTATGTTAAGAAATAAACAATGACTGATCTTGAAAAAATTAAGAATGTTTCTGCCAAGAAGTCAAATTTTTTTTAATTATTAGCAATGAAAGTGGGAGGACAATTTTGCTTCCACCCAAACTTTTGCAAGGCAAAATTAATTAATTTTTCCCTTTAACTTTGTTTCAAAATTTTCAGTTTAGAAAAGGAATTAAAATGAAAACTTTATTTGAACCTGATTACACATAAGTTACATTTACCTGTAAACTGTTAAAATTCTAAGAAAATAGTCTGAAAGCTAACTTTATTTTCCATGTTTCATAAAGATATCATAATTACACCTATATACTTCAATAACTTGAGCAAAAATAAGAAGTGAGAGAGTTTATTTTACATCTTCTTGGATGAAGAAATTTCAAAAACTTGAAAAGCTTGTATATACCAGTAATATGCATCTGAAATCTAAATTCAAGCATGCCTAAAAAATGTTTAACTACTTATGAGACTATATGAATTCATTTAATTGCTAGTGTACATAACTATTATATGCATTTTTTTTTACATGGAGCAATAAGTCTATAGGAAAGCCATATTAATTTTAATTTCAAAAACCAGAAATCCGATTAAAACACAACACTGATTGTGACAGTCCTATTTACCGCTTATTATTCTGGATGCACTCTTTTGTGCCTGTGCCCTGAAGACTTCTTTTTCTTTTTCAAGTTATCGCTACAAAATTGTCAAGCTTCATTTATATCTTCGATCAGCTGTTGATACATTATTAATTTTAGTTGTCTCTCTCACATTATAAAAGTCATTTCTACCCAAACACATGAAAATTCTCTTTCTTAATCCACCATCCCTTATACAAAATACTTAGAACAAACATGCAAAACCTTGACAACATCAACTTTGTGGAATCATCTACTATATGTACTAACTTCATTACTCTGACCACTGAAGATCAATATATTCAAGCTTTGTATTCCTCATATATAAAGCCAAGGTATATGATTGGTATGTTGTTGCTACAGGACATACTTCACCAAACAACAACCAATGGGAGAGGGGGGAGGGGGAGGGGGGTCATTTTGCAGAGTGTTTGTCAAACCTTGGTCTTCTCTGTTTGGCATGAGTCAAGAATTGCTTTAAATATTGCTGTCTTTTGAGGTATGTAGTTATGGTTCTATAAATAAGAAAGGAGTGGGAGAAGAATATCAATCAGTATTAAGATAAGATATAATTTCCATATACTGTTGTACCAGGCTTGGTGTGGGCCATTGTTAAATTTCTGTTGCTTGAACATTTTATGTTTTGCCTTCCCCATATATAATATGAAGTTCATTATAAGGAATATGTATCATGGTTCTACTAATTTAATTAAAATTCATACACTAATTTATGATTACAAAACACAGTCTCTGTTGAAATTAATGTAATATTCAATTATTTAGGGTCATAGTATAAAAAAAAACAAAACAAATTGATAATAAAAATGTAAACTTTAACTGAAATTAAATTAACAATGAATTTCAATTTCAAAGGAAACCAACCCTATACATACTGGTCTCCGGCTGAAAACAGAAAGTCCTAATTCCTAGTCAAAATCAAAGTACTTAGGATTTATTTATTCATTGCATATCAAGCTTAGGTTACAGTATAATTGCTCTGTTTTTGGTTTTGTTGTCTGTAAAGATCCTACACTATAAGGATGAGACTGGGTTTGTGATAACTTGTTTATATAACCTAAGATACCTATAATAGAGCTTGTTTTTATGACAAATTGTTTTTTAGGTGAGAGCCAGGGAACCTTAACCATTTTTATTACTGCACCATGAAGGAGCAGCCTTAAATAGATGATTATCAATATCATTACACAAAGGTATAGCCAGTTAGCCATGTCAACATTAACATG